TTCTGACCAATTAGCAGCAGCAGAAACTGCACGACATCGCGAAAACGGAGTCTGTGGGGTCGGTGGTTGTCAACTTAACAAAACTTGAACGACCAAGAGCTCTTTTTTGGGTATCACCGCTACTCAGATCGCTCTTCGTTCCTGCATTTTGCAGAGTCGCTTTGTGTGGTAACGGAATTTGCTCCATTTCTCGGTTCGCATCACCAACACCGCTCTCGAAGGTGTCTCCGCTCTCTTAGCAGAGACTTGGCTTCATCGTCCAAGACGTGCAGGCTGCCGGAAAGCTGGACGAGACTCTGTGCAAGACCATGAGCGGACCGGAGGAGCTGCTGGCTTATGTCCGAGCAGCAGCGGAGCGGGTGCATGACAGGTGCAGAGGTGGTGTGGGTGCCCGACGGCGACTGCGGACAGTCTTCTCAATGCGTCATTCATTGCAAAAGTTGTCTCCAGGCGACCGGACATCTTGTGTTCGTGATGTGTTTAGTAAGACTTGCGTATCCTTTGAGGTTGCTGGAAAGTGTCGCAAGAGCTTGCAACTGTTGCTGCAAATGTTGCAATGCACAGAGCTTTGCAAATCGCGTTGTCTGCTTCGACACAACTTGGGTGTTTACGCTCGGGTTTATGCTCCACGTTTCGGTTTCATGGTCTGGCACCGGGTAAAGCAGCAAGGTATCGTATACTTCAAGTGCAATTGAGTGTTGCATGTTGCACTTTGAACTGAGACAATGTTTCTGGTACCCGTTTATTTACTTGATGAATCACGTTGTCGGATTGAAGAGCATCGCTTCAGAACCGACGCAGCACTCCATCCCCGGTCCGCCTTTTGGACAATGCATTCCGACACTTCAGATGCTGCTATAAGCGCTTTGAAACTGGGCAGTTCAGGTTTCTTTAGCTTCCATCGAACCCAAACCCCTGACTCAAATTGTTGCACTGTTTCGCTCCTTTTTCTCGCAGCCGCGGCCCAAAAGCCCAAGTTGGTTGAAGCTGCAGAGAGGCCGCCTTGTGCTCCAATTTCCTTGGTTTTTTGGGCGTTTTTTTCGTTATGGGTTTTATATAAAGTCATTAGAAGGCTTAGTCGGGTCGCTGGTGGTTTTGAGAAGCGCTTTACGTCACGTTTTACTATCTCATCTGCAGTGTGGTCAGGTGCGGTCTTAGTTGATTATGCAATTGTCCTCTGTCAGCCGTGTCATTTGAGAATATCAACTCACGTGTTTTTCTTTTTGAGTTATCAAATCACGTGTAGCGTATTGTTATCATGAGTCAAACTGTCAGTAGTCGGCAGCAGAACAACTTCAACTGTCCTGGTGGCTCGGGCTTGTCAGGGTTGTTCGCAGCACAAGATCGTACGCAAGTAGAATGTGTGCATCATGTTTCGGTTCGTCGTCGTCGTGCTCATCCCCCTCCTCCTCCTCCTCTTCATCATCCGTGTCATCATCACCATCATCGTCATCATCATCATCATCATTAGTTTCATTTTCATCATTCGGTTTTTTAAAAGGATTGTGTAGTTTCAGACTTGGTATGTTGTCACGGCTTCGTGCAGGTGTCTCCGGATTCCAAGATGGGCAAGGCTTGCATTGTCCGTGGGTTCTGGTGTTTTGAGAGCGAAGGTTTGAGCTTTGCTCCCCGGGATTTCGGTTCACTTGCCGTCCCCGCATCTAGGAAGAAGGCTGCCCAGTGAGCATTATGTGAAGCTTCGGGCTAGCTGAAACCCTGCCGCACGTGTTGTTGTATGAAGTACCAAGCCATTGGCAGGAAACACTTTCGAGAAGAACAGGAGCAGTGAACCACGTATAAGTAGTCATTTCCATACTGGACAAGCATGGAAATCTTCAATAGACGAGTATGCACACCAACGAGAGGAGGAAGGCTAGGCATAATGGAAGCGAGGAAGAAAGGATAACAGAAGCAATGCATAACCTTTTTAAAGATACACCGTCAGTCTTATGACACAATGTAAAAACATCGGCAGAACATACAGAATAGGATGAACATGCCCACGTGCCAAGCGATAAATTGCACACCAGATGCGATACAAGCAGCAGACATGCTAGTCATGCTTGTCACAGCAGCCCGACCCATATGAATGACGAAGGACACTGTCGCATTTCTTAGAACCGTGGTTCAAACGCAACGAGTAGAGACAACTAGACAAGCAAAGTTCTTGACCTATGGCTGATGAAGCTCTCCTGGCGACAGCTTCAGCATGTACAAGAGCAAACGTAGCAACCAGAACATTGCCGTTTCCTTGAAGAGCTGTTCACTATGAGGTGGATGCTGACTGCAGTTTCGCCTTTGTCACTCGCCTCGGTATCGTGAGAGTTGCGATTCTGTCCAAACGCTTATTGCTGCTGTTGTCAGCGTCAGCAGCATCGTCGCCAGGGTCGTCATGATGATGGCCATCTTCATCCTCCTCTCCTCCTCATTATCAGCATAGTGGTTGTTTTCGTCACCGCAAGATGCTGCTGCTGATGCTGGTGACTAGAGCCATTCGTGGTAACATTAGTTTAGTGCTGCAGGTCCACGGGAGTCCCTATCTCAGTGGGCGATGCCTGAAATGCCGATCCTGCAGGAGCTGGTTAGTGTCATAGCGTTCCAGGCTTTGAAGGGGTAATACAACAACATCAACAACAACTACCAGTACTGCTACCACTACCCCTACTACCACTACCACTACCACCAGCACTACTCTTACTACTACGACTACCACTACTCCTACCACCACTCCTGCCACTACTCCGACCACTACCACCACTCCTACCACTACTCCTACCACTACTCCTACCACTACCACGACTCCTCTACCACTACTACTACTACTACTACTACTACTGCTGCTGCTACTACTACTTTTACTTCTACTACTCTTACTGCTGCTGCTGCTGCTCCTACTACTACTACTACTGCTACTACTACTACTACTACTACTTCTACTACGACTACTACTACTACTACTACTACTACTCCTACTGCTACTGCTACTGACTGCTACTGCTACTGCTACTGCTACTGCTAC